AGCTGGGTTATATGAAGAAAAACATGGCATCAGGATTGGAGGAAGACTCATTAACAACCTGTGATATGCAGATGAAACAACCTTGCTTGCTGAAAGTGAAGAGGACTTAAAATATTTATTGATGAAGATCAAAGAGCACAGCCTTCGGTATGGATTGCATTGCAAATGTAAAGAAAACAAAAATCCTCACCACTGGACCAATAAACAACATTCTTATCAAATATTTTTAGGTAGGTAAGTAAAATTACTAGCCTTTGTTACATAAGACATTGCTATTCTAATTTTTTAAAAGAAATAGAGCTGACTCTGATTAGCCTAGAAATCCTGGAGGTAAGTTTATCCTTTTTTTGTAAAGTAATTAATACAAATTACAGAATATAACAAAAAATGTCCATAGTATAAAAGCTATTTTAATAAACTTCATTTTAGCAAATACATATATAAACTAACAAGTGCAAATAAAATTAATTTATTTGCTCTGTACCTATATGATTAATTGTTAAGTGCTGTCGATTTGCTTCTGACTCATAGTGACTTGTATAGCGTTTCCAAGGAGTGGATTGTGAGTTGAAGCATCAACCTTGTGGTTCAAACCAACCTTATGGTCTAGTGCTTTATCCTACTGCAACACTTAATGGGTATTGATTTTTTTTAATGGAAACAAGTGAACTCTATGTTACATACAGATTAGAATGAAAGAGTAACATTTTTAATAAAATGGTCATATTTTAATTCACAAAGGCAAAACATATGAAATCCAACCCATTTGAGACATAGACTTGAGTTACATTTGTATTTTTCAGTGTGTTGCTATTTTGACCTTGACTATAGATGGATTGTTAGGTCGTTCAGCACATGGTTAGGCTTGTAATTTGCAGAGTCAGAGTATCCTTTTCATTAACAAAAACACTTGGGGACAAGAATAACAGCACACAAATGTGTGAAGAATATTTTCCTTTCATCTAGTACACAGTCTTAAATGTACTTCTTTCTTTGTATTGACTGTCTTCTCTATAATATGGGCTCAGTCCATATTTCTTTTATCTCCTAAAAAATAGACCTATATGATGTGTGCCCCAGTTTTGTAAAAGAACAGTTTACTACATCTCTGTCCCCCTGAGTCAACTGCTTCCACTGTTCTTTCTTTTGTTTACGTTCTCCCAGATTTGATGATGTGGTATTCTGTTCTTTGTACTCCTTATTTGGTTCCTTGATGGTAATTTTTATGTTGTTAAGTTGTTAAGTACCATTCTGTTGTTTTTACCTTATAGAGATCCTATGTAGGGTTTCTGAGGAGCAGCTGGTGAGTTTGAACCTCCAACCTTGTGGTCTAGTACTTATTTGATAGCACCACACCAGGACTCCTAATTTTTTTTTGTAACTCCTGTTATTCAGGACTTTTCTGCCAAATATTTGCTCTATTCAGAAATGAGAATTCAGAAGTATTCCTGACAGGTTGAAATCTTGGTTATAAAAACAAATTTTGAAGCAGGTTTTAAAAAAAATCCAATTTGTTAAAGAAAGATTTTTATGAAAAGGATGGCTAGAAATGATCACTATTTAGTTTATAATGCAAAATGTTGTAAAGTGCAAAGGTGTCATATAAAATTGATATTTGTTTAATATCAACTAATTAAATTAAAGGAAACAAATATTTTAAGGGTAAATCTTACAGTGTTGCTGTTGTTCTTAGCTGTGGAATCGACCCTGACTCATAGGGACCCTATGTGATGTTTCCAAGGCTTTAAAACTTTGCAGGAGAATAACTATACCTATATTGAAATTTATTCTGATAGAATTAAAGTTAATGTAGGTTATAAGATTCTGTTTTGATGCCTCTTAATTTTGAACTAGTGAACTGAAAACTTCTGTAATTCACTGAAAAATATGGATTGTAAGAGCT